GCAGTGTATTCTAGGAGAGCTCTCTTTACAAAACGATCCATAATTTAAATATGATAATTGATAAAACTATTTAAACGAATAAATTTAAAAAAAAATGAACTGAATAGACTACCTATACGGCGTACGCGGACGGTTATGAATGAATTGAAGTCATTAGTCCAGTGGCGGAACTACATATGATTGAAGGCGGGATGTTCCGCGGGCCTCATCGTGAAAGGGGCCTTGGCGCCCCTCAGCAAAATGATGTACTTTTTAAAAAATTTCGGTTCAAGTAAATAAAATCATTGAATACTGAAATAATACAAAGTATACTGATAAGTGATTACTAAACGTGTATACGGATAACCATACATCATAGTATTTAGTAGGTACTATTAATAAGAGTATAATAATATTGTCAAGTCTAGTTATTGCGATATGCTGGCATGCGGCGGCGATACGTGGTAATTCGGGGTGGAGCCTATAATAGCTGGTATACTAAATTATAGAAATAGATTATATTATACTACGGTCTACGGCCCAAGAAAGAAATTATTTTTTTCATTTCATTCTAACGATTTTAATATGAGAGTGGTGTTTGAGGGTGTTTTCCGTTTGGTGTCAGAAACAACATCCAAGTTACTTAGGTAAGTTGTAGTCTTACAATGATTTTGCATTGAAAGACAACATTAAATTATTGTGATTCGTAAACAATCATTGTGGTCATTGGTGTTACGTAAATACTTGAAATTTAATATTTAATTTATTAAAACTAACGGTTTTGAACATATTTATATATTTCATCTACATAATATATTAAATTTTAAAGAAAATTAAATAACCTTATAATTTAAAATTTTGTGAAAAGTACAATCACGTGAGTTGTCATATTACTTTTATTAAATATATCGTGAACGCGAAATCCCATATCGAGTAGGTATCGACAATCTTATTATTATACCGTGTTCGCAAATCGTCACGTTATATTATATATTTATATTGTCGTGGACGCGATTGTCACGTATTATAATATATTATACATTTTATTAGTATTTTTAATGGAGACTTCACTATTTTCCTTGACTCGCATTTAATATTTTTATACCTCCATCGAGAATCACTACATATTATTATTTATTATATTAACTCATATAACCGCTAAAAAGCCATATTATTTATTATTGTTTTTATCTGTTGGGTCAAAATTGACTTAAAATATAATTTAAATTAATAAATATATTGTTTTAAATTACCGTGTACGCAAATCGTTTTTTTTTTTTAAATAATAATTTAATTACTAGTTTCTCTGACTTATTAACGGCATTTTACTTGCACCTTACATTACCAGTTACTGTGGCGAGTGCAGAAAGATCATTCTCAAAACTTAAATTAATTAAAAATTATCAAGAAGCACCGTCTCCAAACACGGCTTAGTGGTCTTGTGAATAGTTGCGATGATTTCGATAGAAAATGAGCGTGCTAAGAAATTTAACTTATCGTTATTGGTGAAGACGTTTGCTCATTGTAAATAAAATATTATTATTAGGGCTTCCGAAATTATAATTCAATAAATTATTAATTAACTATAAATTATATTTTATTTTTTATTGAATCCAAATAAACAGCTCAATATTTAGAAATTTAAATTACAGATATAGGGCCTCCAAAAAAAAATTGTATCAACGGGCCTCAACGATCGTAGTTCCGCCACTGCATTAGTCATTACTCATTACTCAATTACGATGGTATGATACTTTTTCCATAGGCAATGAATAATAATAAATTAAATATTTATAACTTGCAGTGGTTTATTAATAAAGGTTGTTGGTGAATGGTGAGTGGACTGAGTGGAGCTGGTGGTTTATTCTTATTAGTTATTGGTATTTTTAAATTATTATAATACCAATTTTCCCACTTCCCTGCAGTACTATCGTCTATCAGGTTATTATTAGACCTTCGACTTGAATTATTTAATATTATTATATAAAGCTTATCTATTGTCGTCTGTCGACGATCAACGATACAATTATTATTATTAATTTCTTAAAAGTGGTGCACATTAGCGACAAATGGCAATAATAATACTAGGTACCTAAATATATACGTATAATTCATTATTAATATTGTAATTTTATAGTATAGGATATTATACAATTTTAAAAATAATATCGGAAAATATTATGATGTTCGTATATTTTTCAGATTACGTCTCGTAAACAATCTAGATAAATTAATATAGATGACGAAGTTTTCTATCTTCGGTGACAGGTAGACACCAATTGTGTAATTTATTTATATAAGATAAAAGATACGATTGTTTTGTCTAGATAAGGTATCTAGATAAATTTATCTAACTAAATTTAGCTATTGCACAACACTGATCCAAACTAATATTGAAAATGCTATCATAATATTACAAAAGCCGTATATGTATTGCACAATGTAGTATTAAGAGGACGCTACACCAGCCATAATTTAAGCGTAAAAATGGTTTTGCGGGGGACAACTCTACAAGGCCAATATTCATTGTAGATTCACCAAATTTTCAGAATAAACAAAATAGAACTTTATCTATGTCGTAGCGTTTTTACTTTTTTGATAACTTAAACACAATCCAAGTTATTTAATCGGAAAGTTTCATTAATTTTTGTTTTTTTTCATTTGCTTATAAATAATTAACGAGTATTGATATCAAAAAAAGATAAACGCTACGACACAGATACAATTCTCTTTTATTTATTAAAAAAATTTGGTGAATCTACTATGAATATTAGCTTCGTAGAGTTGTCCCGCGCAAAGCAGTTTTTATTGTATCAAAATGCTGAAAATTAATTTTTATAATTATTATTATTCTCTGGACTCTGGTGGCGAACGGCTTAATTATTGTCGACCACTCCCCACTCCCCAGTCCCCATCCTATATGCTATTTTTATAGACTGACAATTCCGGCGATACTAGGAAAGTATAATGGGCTTATGGCTGTTTCCGTCACCGCGTTAAACGAGTTTTGAGTCTCTTGATGTTGTTGTAATAATTATAACAATTATTGTACTATTATCGAATAGTAACGACACTAATAATTCAGTGTTAGATAGTATAGACGGTATACGAGCGTCCTATACTCCTATGTTCTTTTATTATTATATATTATACGAAATATACGCATATTTTGTAGTTTTGTCACCAATTTTTATTTAACTGGGTTGTGTTAATTTTAATAAAATGTCACCGAAAAAGACAAGATCGCTCTCTAATAAACGAGCTCGAATAGGTAAAAAAGGTAACCATAAAAAAATGAAGAATGTTCAGAAAGGTATTAGTATAAGTATACGGTAAGTACCTGCTAGTTGCTACTAATAAATAGTTTTAAATTTTAATATTATGTATATAATTCAAATATTAATTTTTATATAATTTTGTAAATTTATCAAAAAGAAAGTCGACCTCTGAGCATTTTAATAATGAAATAGAAACTACTCCGAAAATGTCTTTATTCCGTACCATATCGACCAGCAGATCGTTACATTTGGTTGTGCACTGTTCTAATATATTTTGTGTAATAATAGTCCGATACTTCGACAAGTACGGTAGTTGGTAACTTTGTCAACGTCCGAAAATGCTAAGGTACCGTCTGCTTTTTTTTAATGGAAAGGTTGATCTTTTATTTTTAGAATATTTTTGGTGGTCCCCATAAGGACCCATCTTTAGAACATAAGGACTCGTATTTGTGTTTGAATAACTCAGATTTATGGATCCAAATTTTTGTTTTTATGGTATTGGACAGGTGATGGTATCTTTTTTGTCGGATGGTAGTCTGGTGTATTTCCCACGTGAGCGTGCACGACTCTTAGATACTTATATTCAGAGGGGGGGGTTTGATACGGTGTACTATATCAACGAAAATGACTACACAGGGAAAACTCACACCCTGTAGGATAGTCGGATTTCGTTAGTTGTTTTTTTATTTAAAAGGAGAATATTTTTCAGGTTGAATCAAAGGCCGAATTTTCATTTAACTTTTAATAGTGGTAGAAAAATACGTTTGAAAAAGAACAAATATTGGGAGTATTCAAATGCAATCGAGTTGGTGTCGCTCTGCTGTACAGTAGGTTACAAGTGGGTCACTGTCCACTGAAATGGGTGGTGTTAAATTTGAATTCAATGAAATAATAATATTGTAGAAATCAATCAAAACGTACAAACCTGCAATTTGGAATAGTGGTTCCTCTAATGCTCAAGATGTGCAATACGAAAGGATTTTTCGATATGCGCATTTTAAAGAGGTGAAAAAACAGAGATCTTGTGCTAGGATCAGTCTAGGACAGAGATATTCAAACTTTATCATCGCGCAGCTCCTATGTGTTTAGAATATTTTTACGGCTCCCAAATTATTGTAAAAAAATTGAAACGATACGGATACAATAATATTATAGCCAATATGAGTGATAATAACAGTAACTTTAGTATAAAAAATAAAACTTTAAATAGTCGGCCAGTCGGGTAATGTGTTTCATTATAGTTTCCATAATGGTTGGTAAATAGTTGGTATTAGATTTTTTTTGATAGAGGTATGTAATCTTATGAGAAATCTTGTGTTATATTTTCAAATCTTGGATTTAAAAAGAAAAATTTTTATGAATTTCTAACTCAAAATAATTTGCACATTTTCTTGATTTTTACGTATTTTGTAAATATTTGAACTTTAAATGCTTATAAAAAAAAATTGTGCCTATGTATTTTTAATATTTTTCAACTGCTATTGTAACATTATATCAGGAGCCTTGCATTAAATTTTCACGCTTTTGAGCTGAATGTCCGTAAACAACTCAAAAAAAGTCAAATTATTTTCAAAATTTTTATCGTGTATAGAAAAACCTTATATAAACATTCGGGAAATTTTCAAGTATCTACAGTCATTCGTTTTTTAATTACAACAAAATAAGAAAATCGTTACATAATATGAGTAAATAATATTTAAAATATTACGATATAACCTTAATATTTGCAGTTCAAATGTCACAATGCCTGAAATTACTATACCGGACATGGGAACTAGTGCATTTTTTCCTGTATCAAATAGTACACCAGTATCAACGAATACAGATAAACAAATGCATTTTGAAATTTCTGAACCTTGTTCAGATAATTTTATTGATCATAATTTGTTAGTAGAATCAACTAATGATGAGGAATCCGTCGTTCTTGAGTATAATAAAATAAAAGTATTATGTTTTATAACATTATTTATTTCAGTATTTATTTATAAATTTAGACGCCTCGAAGGTCGACGAATTGTGGATATAAATCATTTATTCGAGCAAATTAAAAAAATCCGACATGAACCATTCAACTGCTCATTTGTGGACATGGTATTTATATCAGAAACTCGTAAAGGGTATATGTCTGTCTTTACATTTAAATGTAAAATGTGTAACATTATTTCAAAAATTACATCAGAAATGTTAAATAATACTGCACCTTACTTGCCCATAAATAAAGCTATAGTAAATGGTAGCTTAGCTATTGGTATGTACATTTTATTATTGGGTAATTTTTTTTAAATCTAACTAAAATTTTTATTATTATAAAGGAATAGGCCAAACACAACTCGCCGAATTATCGGCTTCAATCGAATTACCATTTATCTCGTCTACTTCATACATCAGTCATTTATCGACTGTAAGCAGTTCAGTGCAAGATACTGCTATTGATGAGATCACTAAAGCTGGTAAAGAAGAAAGGGAAATAGCTATTAAGAATGGAAATGTCGATGAAAATGGTATACCCATGTGTACTGTTATTGCTGATGGCCAATGGCCAAAGAGATCATATAAAACAAAATATAATTCATTTTCTGGAGCGGTAAAAAATGTAAAAAAAAAAATTTTTCAAATAAATCTAATTCAATTTTATTTCAGGCGACTATTATTGGATTCAACACAAAAAAAGTACTATTTGTTGGTGTGCGTAATAGTTACTGTTCTGTTTGTCAGCGAGCAACAAACAGAAAAACTGAGCCACCTGTTCACGTTTGTTTCCTTAATTGGAAAAAGCCATCCACCGCCATGGAAGCGGATAGTATATTGGAAGGGTTTTCCAATAGTTTGAATATGCATGGACTAAAGTATAATAAACTTATCGGTAAGCAATAATTAACTTCAGCCAGTAAAATATAGGATTGTTATATTTTTTTTAAGAAAAAGCCAAATTAATCATTAGTTTGTGTAAAAGATCGGGAGAAAACTTTAAAAGGGTATAGACAAAAAAATAACCCACCTCGTTTTAAAATATTTTTATAATATGTATTTCAGGCGACGGTGACAGCAGTGTCACTAATAAACTAAATGAAGTAATGCCTTATGGACCAGAGTTTAAAATACAAAAAATTGAATGTAGAAATCATCTCCTCCGTAACTACGGAATGAAAATGTCAGCTCTCTCGAAAAAAATTGAATATCCAGCTATAATTCGTAAATTTATCACTACTAATATTTTACGTTTTCGTTCAGATATAACTAAGGCTATTGAACATCATTTAAATGAAAATTCACCACTTCAACAAAAAATAAGAGGTTTGTAAGTTTAGTTTAATTACTATTATTTGTATTTTTCTAGTTTTTTTTTTTCCAACAATCATACCTAATTACTTAGTTAATTGCATGTTATATATTATTAATTTATAAATAATAATGATTGTGAGGTATAGTTAGGTTACATTTTATAAATAATTGTCTGTTATGTTATTTAAAATGTACCTACTTATATTTTATTTTAGACCTTAGAAAAGATATTACAAACAGCCCATACCATCGTCTTGGACAGCATGATAACTGTGCTAACTACTTTTGTACCGGGCCAAAAGTTGGAGAAAGAAACTTCGTACCTGAAGCTATAGAAACTGGTATCATGGCTGAAATTAGAAAAATTGTTTATAGACTAGCGGCAAATACTGAGAGCTTGATTGAAAACACAGATAACAACCCGTGTGAACAATTCAACAGTCTCATAAACAAGCACATTGGCGGAAAACGGATCAATTTTACACAGGGGAATAATTATAAAACACGGGTCGAAGCTGCAGTTGTAACTCTCATAATTATATACGTGCTGTACAAAAAACAATTATTTCCAAAAGTCCAGGTAAATTATATAGTAGGTACTCTACAATTTTTTTTTTTTAATACGTTATACTCGCCGAATATGGCATACTATAAACTATTTATACTGTTGACTTACTAACTATTTGTTATAGTAATAGTTTTATTATATTTAGTATATTAATTATAATTCATTGTATTTTTAATAGGAAAATTCGGTAATAAATATTCAACTAATATTACTAGAATTAGGAATAATACCAACAATAGAAGACGAAAACTTTTTAGTTCTAGAATTGTACGAACAAAACCCAAGTATAAATGTAGCGCACCTGATAACAACTATGGTTTAGCTGAGCCTTTAGACGATAACCTCAGTTTAAATAATGAACATTTTTTGGAAAAAAAAAATTTATTTTTACAAAAGCTCACTGATGTGAACCGATATGAAATTGAAAAAGTTACTAGGGATCAAAGCCATAGTGAGATATGGTATAAAGAAAGGCGAGTACGTTTGACAGCTTCAAAATTCGGCGAGATATGCAAAATGAGAGATTCTACAAGCTGTAAGATAAAAGTCCATGGAATGCTGTACAAACCATCTGCTATGTGCAAATCAATGGCTTACGGTATAGAAATCGAACCCCTAGCCAGGTCGAGTTTTGAAGCATTACTTCAAGTTTCCGTCCAGTTGTGTGGTTTGTTTATCGATCGAGAGTATCCATACTTAGCAGCTAGCCCAGGTGTTTAATTATTTATATAATATGGACATATTATGTATATAAATATTAATTAATGTTTCTTTAATTGTATTTAAATCAAAATGTAATTATCTTATAGATGGACTAGTTGGTGAACATTTCGTTTTGGAGATCAAATGTCCATACGCCGCCAAAGATACAATCAGTGCTATTGAAGCGATGGAAAAAAAATTGGTTTGTATAATGCAATTAAATTATAATACAAGCATGCCTATACGTAAACAAATTTGTATTAAAATTTGGGAAATATGTTATAGTTGCCATATTGTTCGGTTAAAGAAGGAAAAATTGTGTTAAAAAAAGACCATGCCTATTACTTTCAAGTAATTGGTCAGTTAAGGATAACACAAAGAAATTTGTGTTATTTCGTAATTTACACGAAAAATTGGATGAATGTCGAAGAAATACATTTTGATATTTCCTTTTGGGAAATGAAAATGGTCAAAAAACTTCAGTCGTAAGAAATAATTGATATATAAGTAGTATTAAAGTGAACCTATAGTTATTGTTTATTCATATGCGTAATACATGGGCGTCTACTGTCTATGATATTAATATTTTATTTGTTTTAGATTTTATTTGGATTGCTTGTTGCCCGAAATTATAGACCCCCTTTATGGGAAAAGGTTGTTGATTACTGATATTAGAGAGCCACTACATATTTTAAACGCTCAACATCTGCAACGACAAATTAAAAAAAAAAATGTTAAAAGATGAATTTTTTTTATAGATTTACTATTTAGCAATATATAAGATTGTAATAAGATATGAAAAAGTAAAGCAGAGATTTTTTTTTAATACATTTTGAACAATATTCTACTATCCTCCTTGTCCTGCAGTGTCTATATAAATATATAATATATTAATTACTAATTACAAACTAATAAATATATTATTGAATGCACGCGTAATAATTCATATATTTGTTATTACTTATTAGTTATTAGTAAATTGTAGTTTTAAATTATTATAAGTAAGATAGGTAGAAAAGTACGACCTTATAAATAATAGATGACAGATGTATGAACAATTTATAATGTTTAGAAATACGCAAAAAATGTCATTTAAAAAATATACTTATGTGGTAGCAGTATAACGTAAAATAATATATTCAATTGCCCTACTAAAAAACTAATATAATATAGATATTTTTGTAATACTAGTTTAGGTTACAGTTAATAATTTGATATTATTTAAACTATATTGAAAATTGAATATATTTTTTATGAAGTAAGTAATTAATAATGCAATAAATACAAGCCACGTAGTTACGCGCGAATATTAAAAATATTACGGCGGCAATGCGGCATAATATACGTGTATGCGTTGTATATTATTTACCCGCTCCATCACAGACGAAGGTTGAGAAAATAATAAACGTCGCTCCCGAAGGAGCAAAATTGTCGGCCAGCCGCCGACTGTGAGTAGTGGGCGCGGCTTAAGCGTCGCGTGCTTGCGGATCGCGAAAACACCTAACAGCGCGTTCTCTCGGTCGTTGTATACGTTTCGCTTTCGGTGTGGCGTCCTCTTAAGTTAATACTATTAACGCATAATAAGAAACCAATACAAAATATTCAACATTTATTGAACGAAAAAATTGCTCTGCAGACGGCAGAAAATATAACAGATTTAGTGTAGATGCCAGAGACACTAGTGAAATATTCGCTGACTATTTATTAGTGAATATGGTTCAGTTCCTTGGCAAATGGACTATATTTAATTGTAGGTAGATAATGTAACTTTGATAATATTATATATATTTAAGTATAATATTTTTAAAATATTTATTTGAATTTGTCTCAGATATCAATTTATTAGTATAGTTATAAAATGTTTAATATTAGATACCTAGGAATTTATATTTATATATATTTATATTTGGGCAGTATTTTTACTTTATTTCGTTATTAAGCTTATTTACTTATACTGAAATAGACTGCAACTAGTTGTTGGCTAGTTTTAAAATTCAATCAAATCGTATTAGGTAATATTTTAAAACCAAAAATTAACAGGAATAATCATTATTTTCATTTAAACGCTAGGCCTGGGTTATTTATGTTTTGTAATTTTGTACATTATAAGTAGTTGCTCGTATAAACTTGACTTTATTGTTAAAAATAGAATTATTATATAAAATAACAAAATTATAAGTTTATTTTAACATATTACTATGTACAAGAGTGACGTGTGTATTTGATTCAATTGAAATTTCCCTATCTATAATATCCTATAGACCTATTATTTACTATTTAGTATATCGATTTTGATATAATTTATAAAATCTAGTAATTTTATACATAATATAGGTATACCATTTATTTATTAATAATTAATTTTGGTACATTATGATTAATTATGACCAATGCATATGGTTCTATACTTATTACTTCTATATTATGTTCAATTAGTATTAAGTATTAGAATAATATATTATAAACTATAATACCAATAGGTACCTACCTAAATGATGTACCTTTACTTTACAGTATTGCATTATTACTCATATTATTATTTAATTATTTATTCTTTATAAGTTTAAACCTATACCTACTTGTAGCTTATACTTCGATTTAAATACCTAAATAAAGCTATATTCCAATATAGATACCTAATGTAATTTATTAAAATAAAGTGTAGGTACTTGGATAATTTATAATTTATATTTTGTATTTATTTGAATAATATATAATATAATTATTGTACTTACCATCTATAATCATTTCTTTACTTAAACCAGACCAACATTGTTGAATAATTGTCCTATTTTTATGTCCAGCATGACGAGGGTTCCAAATCGGTTTTTTTAAAAAAACTGCTGCTGCTAATTTTTCTGGATTAACCGACATAGTGTCTGGTGGGCTTTTCAAAAGCGATTAATCGCAAGAAAACAAACTATTTTGGTATATTTGCGTTAAAAGCGATTTATCGTAAAACTCAAAAAGCAAAACGCTTCCAGTCTGGTCATATCATATTTATTCTATAGTTTTAATAAAATGGTATTATCGCAAAACGCAAAATCGCAAATCGCGTTCAGTGGGGCCGTACCTTAAACAATAGAAACAAAATGTAAAATCTTATTTAAAAAAAAACAGACTATAATTATTATATTATGTTACATCACAATAATTTATATGGTTCGTTAGATGTTTACAATTTTAAGGTATAAAACATTTGTTTTTCATCAGTAGAACGCAAAGTAACGCATTTTAATTTACCTTTCATGAATAAAAAAATGTAATTACTATAGGAAGGTTTTGAATTTTAATAGTTAAATAAAAGTGGCAAAAATTTTATGGAGGTCGAGATTTTGTGGACAAACGTGATTAGGACCCTTCGAGTACACATCACAAATGTGTGGAAAGTATCGAATCGTACATACGTACTTACAATCAACAAGACTCGGCCCGGTTGCCCTGGGTCGGTGGACAGCCGAACGGAGTTTTGACTAAGTGTCTTTAATGCGTGCATGGTTTATAGTTGTCATATGACTTTTTCAGACGGTTGTCGCACAGCAGACCTCCGAAGATATAGTGAATTACCAGTTGTATATATATAAGACATTCGGTCAATATACAACGTAAGGCCGAACGGAAAACGTCTGTTCTAAGCTTAGCGATCGTCGGACTAAGAACGTGCACTGGAGCGCTAGATGGCGCTACCATATCCCGTTCGTGAACTGGTCTCGATTTCACAGATGGTTAAGGTCGAAGTTACTCACGGTGGTCAAACAACTTTAACTTTTGTTGATTAAAAATTCAAAACTTGTGTTAGTTGGAATGTATAATATTATAATCTACGTATAGTTATCACTGCCATCGAACATGGTTCACTGCAATTTACGGGCAGTAGAGTACGGTATCCAGTGATGGGTGTTTTTTTTGGAAGTCAAAAATTTAAAACTAAAATTGATGCGGCGGCTGCATGAAGGTGTGGAGTTTTCATAATTAGATCATAATATTATTGTAGTTATTTTGTTGTAATTCAAAAATATTGTTCATAGCACTTATAATATTTTACTATTATTATATTTTACTATTATAAACAATGACATTTTCAAAAAGTTCATATTAATTTTAATCAATAGTCTATTTATACCACGAATTAATCATATCGTTCTCCGGTAAATCACTATTGAGTCAAAAATGCATAACAATCATAGTATGTGATATAAAATATATACACTATTATAAAAGATAATATTATAAAAGGCAATGTTCTCGGAAAAAATTAATTCAAACTACCATGTTCTAGAAGTCAAATAAATTACTGAAACAGTGGTTGAACTTTGAAATGAATAATAAAATATACCTAGTAAGATAGGCTCCGTGGTTTCCGAAAGAAACGATTTATAATATTAAATTCAAACTCAACAGTTTTAAGTTAACAAACACATTACATCAAAGGTGGGCGTTAAGTTGATAAAAAGTTTAAAAAAAAACGTCTGAAAAATTGTTCAAATTCATTAAATATAGAAACGCTGTTCACGTTCTCGTGTCTTTCAATAAATATGAACGTGAACTTGCGTTATATATAGGTATTAAACAAAAGAAAACTAGTGGAGTTTAGTTAGTTGACGCCTGCACAATTTGGATTACCTAGGCGTATTGTTCGGCGAACATAATATAATATACAACATTATTTAGTGAACCATTAAATCTAATCAATTTTTTATGCAACACGGCATTGGTCTTAAAAAGACCAAAAAAAAAGCCGCATAACAGTTTGGCTCATTGGCGTCATTTCAGTTTTCAATAGATTGGGGGCTAAGGTTTTGACCTGCCCGAATGGGTAAAAAAAAACAGCTCGCTTCGCTCGTAACCACATATTAAAGATACAGCTAACATTGATATTTAAAAACACATTAAAAACTGGATAGCCCAAGTAACACCAAGAATGAAAAAAAAAAGCTAAAAAATCTCTGCAAACTAATCTGATAATTCAATTGATAATAATACTTGAACATATATTTGTATATTAGTATATCAGATTTTGTTAAAACATTATTTAAGTTTTTTCTATACATATATTCACTTGCAGTATAGTTTATTATTTATTATTATTATGTGAGACAATTTCGTTTTGTTTTAAACTGCAGTATGTATTTACTTGAACATATTATATTTGTTGTATTAACATATTATAAGATTTTGTTAAAACATTATTTATACTTACTGCAATATTTTTATTATTTCATTATAATATTAGGTAATTTATTTTCATTATTTATATTCAAATTAATTTATATTTATCAGAATATATTAAAAATTTTGTTTAAATTCACTTAAAGTATGTTTTTTTAATTTTCATAATTATTATTATATCTCAATGAATAGTTAATTTAAAATGTTCAAGATCAAAAACATAAATTAAACAACATAATGTTAAAATACATATTACACAACCAGTTTATAATATTTTAATGTTGGTTAATATATATTATTTAGTAGTACTATAAATTGTTTGTAATAAATCTAATATTATTGCAGTTAAATAACTTTCGATATATTTGATACTAAATATTTTGAAATTGCATAAATCAAACATTGCAAAAATATTGAGTTACAATATTGTGAAAATATTAAGGTAAAATAGTGTGAAAATATATGGCTAAAATTTTGTTAAAAGATAATATTATTATAGTTACAATTTTGTAAAAATATATCTCAACAATATTATGAAAATAACTAGCTACAATATTGTGATAATATATTAGTACA